GACATAAAGGTTAGCACTGTCTGACGTAGCATCCACCAACCTCAACTCAGTGGCGGACAGAGATAGACCATATTGCTATGTTTTTGCTGGAGACAGTCAGTGGAAGATTGTTGCTTCCTCTGGAGCATGTGTTTGAACAGCGACTACGCATTGGTTCGAGCATATGTATATGCCTAAGTGAATACAGGAATAAAATAGCAACGAGACCATTGTGGGGGCACCTCGACAATGAAAAAAATTAGGATGCTTTGAATCAGAAACTGGTTAGACAGTCATCAGAACAGAACAACACCCGAGAGAAACTTGGCATCATCTCCAGTCTATTGAAAAAACGGCAATGAAAAACGTAGCCGACTCTCAGAAAGGGGTTAAAAAGAGCCAGTGGACATCAACAGCTGCTTCTGAATTAATGGAAGGATGCGAAAGCACTCCAGCAGGTTCCGAGTACAATGGAGAGCGAATGCAACTTAGATGTAGACTGACAAAAAGTCTGCGCAATGACTGTGAACAGTGGTGAGTAGCGAAGGCTACGGAGATGAAATAGGCAGTGGCGACAGGTAACAGCAGAGAGCCAACTATTGAGACTTGTCAAGGAAACGGGCAAAAATGCCAGTGGGGTTAGTGAAACTATAGCGGAGAAGGATAGGTCTGTAGTTCATTCGCAAGGAGGACGACTGGGATGATAGATCGGGCACTTCAAAGAACAGTTCAACTGCCCTGCGGTTACTATTGCGTTGCCCGCTATACAGTTGGAGCCTGAAAAGAAAACTGAGATACGACCCCCAACACATGCAGAAGTCGAGAAAGCTGTAAGTAACTTAAAACGAAGAAGAGCATCAAGTCCAGATGGAATAGTTCCAGAGGCATCTAAGAACGATGGGCAAGGACTTTTAGTCGTTAACTGACGTGTTAAGCAGCATGTGGGAGTCAGATATGATCCCCTCTGACTGGTCTCAATCACTGATTGTCCCAGTCTTCAAGAAAGGCGTGAAGCCCTGTTATGATAACTACAAAGCAATTAGTCTGACGAATATAGTGTCTAAGATTCTGAGGAAACCAGGCACGCTTCAGATCTAGTCACAGGAGCATGGGCCAGATACTCACACTCCACTAGGTTCTGGAAAACAGGCACAGTTACCGACGTTTGACACTGGCTGTATTTCTCCACCTGAAGGCAGCACCTTACTCCATCGGTCGCGAGGTCTTATGGCAATATCTCTCACTGCAACGAGTACCGAGTAAGTACACTACTTCGTTGAAGTATCTGAACTCGAAACCACGTGGGTGTGTTAGAGCATAGCGTTATCGGGTCAGTTTCGTACGTCAAGTAGTGTCCTTTAAGGATGTTCACTCTTTCCCTTCGTATTCAACTTTGTCATAGATGTTTTTATGGAGGTCGCCCTCATCGTGACTTTACAGATTGATTTTATCACAGGAGAACCCTTGGTAGACCTAGGGTACTTAGACAGATAGTCCTATTAAGTTAGGATATTGACAGAATGCAGTCCTTTGAATACCTTGAGTGGCAATTTAAGAATGTGTGGGATACGTTTCTCGTCACAGAAAAACAAACCTTTGCTTCAGGACTGGTCTTTGGTGGTACTCTATCCAACAATTGAGAGTGAAGTGGTTGAAAGCATTGAGAAATTCACTAATCTGGTAAGTGGGACCAGTCCTGGTGGCTCAATGACCGACTAAATCTCTGTACGCTTACAAAAGGTTTGCCAACCTACGCCACCTGTACCCTGGTGAGATATCCCGTCATTTATCAAGGGTCGAGTCTACTGCGCTGCAGTTCGCTCTATTCTACGGTATGGCCGCGAAGCATGGCCATTAAAGGCAGAGGACATGAGAAGGCTTCACGTGTTTGACTATCGTTGCCTTTGTATCATAGGCCGTGATATCACCACCTCAGTGATGTAGAAATCAGGTATGGAGTCCTAAAGAGGAAAGGGAAGCCATTTGATCAGGTTGCGAACCTTCATTAGCTCAAGTGGCTGGGACATGTGTTATCTATGCCTAGTCACACAATGTTAACTAAAGTAGGTTTGGACCGAAAAAATGTATACCTAGCTCTATGTTATGTCTGGCTCCTTATGTCTTTAGTTTAGTCACATGTAACCATTTTTCAGCCTGGACCTACTTCAGCTAACGTTGTAACATGGCAGATGGTGACTAGGCATACGCGACACGTGTTCCAGTCACTCAAGTCAATGGAGGTTCACAACCTCACTAAATGAATTTGCTTCTATGCCCAAAACTGCGCTTTTGATACCATCTGGTCGCCTAAAAGAAGTAGACGGAATATGTTTTACACCCGGGACCTACTGCTTATGAGTCGATTAATTGAGTCAGTGAGCGCCAACCTCATATTATTTATGTATCTCAAACAAGACTAACCGTTTGTAGTAGGTACAGGTACACGGTTTTGATCGCTCGCATGTCTTGAGTCCCTTTTCAGATAAGCAGACTCGTGAACCTTATAGATTCCCCCCCCCACTATGTAAATCTTGACTACGATTTGTTAACCTAATACCAACCTCTCGAACACCAACAGAAAAATTCAACATTAGAGAAATTAGTACTACATGTAGTTTGATAAAAACTTTGTATCTAAGTCATATACATTTACTGAAGGCCGAAAACTAATAAAATTAAGAAAAAAATTTATACATGCGCCTATTTCTAGTGACTTAAAAATTAATAATCAAAACTATCACAAATAACTTTCACGATATGCATTAAAGTTCAGTGATATAAAAGGAAAAACCAGTAAACGTCTTAACAGGAGCACTCAAGTCTTCTAAGTCACAGAGAAACACAAGCCTTCGCAGTTATGAATAATGAACTATAAGGCACTAGGAATTCTACTCACTCTCTAGTGCTGATTTTCAGACTGCTTCCCTTTCTGTTGTAAATTATAAACGTTTACCAATCGTAAATTTCTAGTGCTTGGTAAGTCATCGGCTCACGTTGTCTTTTTTTTCCTTGCAGATTCTTATGAGGACAGAGAGTGGTCCACCGCCACCACCGAACAGAAAAACTGCTTGCTGGACTGAAACAACATATCGAAAGGCTAGATGAAAACTCACCAGTATTTGGTCGTTACAAACCACTCTACTGAGAATGTTTTTTATAATTTACTAATCTACCAACCTAGTTATTGAAATCTCATATTTGAACGGTGTCTAAATCCAAGCAAAAGACGCCACGAAGTGTAAGCCTAACAGTCCGCTAGTGAGCAAACGCTGTGACGTATTCTTTACTCCGGAAAATAGGATGGAATCATGTACGCCAGTGATAGTGGATATTTAGTGTTAAGTCTCAGTGAACTGGAGTTCATCTAAGTTGATTAGGACGAAATTAGTTTTATTATCCCATAAATAACAAACTTTAGAAAAGATAGTTGAGATAAAATAGTTGTGTATATATTGATAAAAATATGTCATGCACAAATTATTTCACTTAACGTAAATCACTCAGATGGAAGACATTTAACAGTACAGACATTGTCAGGTAGGTCATCCGAGGGGTTTGAGAACCCTCTATGACGCGGAGCCGGGAGAATCAGCATTGATAACATGCAGAGAAACTCTATCTGACCCATAAATGGAGATCTTGATCAAACTCGAAGTTAGGAAAAAGGTGACTTGAGTATACTAAATGACTACCAGAAGAAATATAGGTGCGTAAGTTTCTAGCCTGCTACCCAGTAGTTGAAAGTTTAGACTGATGAGCTACAGCTCCACAGATGAGCGGGGCGGACTTCATACGTCCAGTTTTGTAATCCTCTATAATTTAAATAGTCTACTTCAAAAGGTACTAACAAACCCATTAGCACACGAATTCAAGATTGATCAAACGAGCGGTCACTGCATGTTTATCCATCTCGCATTTGCTCCGTCTGTCCTTAGGAAAATTTGGAAGGCCAAAATAAAAATCCCATCGTTATAATAGACTTTACAACTCTACGAAGTATTTTTCGAGACTGCACGATCTCGAAAATAATCAGTAACTTCTCGCGATACGTCCAGTAGTAAAACATCACGTATAAAACTGCAGCGATATTCTGAGATAAAATCATTCCTCACAAAAGCGAAGCTTTTGAAAGTTTCGGTTTAACTATTCAGGTATTTCAAGAATGGCATTTTGCGTCTTTGGTACGTTCGAAGCCTCAGTAATCATATTTGTACGAAAAACAACTGTGTTGGAAGTCAGAATTAACTGGTCAGTATGAGGTTAAAACTGTTATCAGTTCTTATTCTGGAGAAACCTCTTTGCTAGGGTCAGTATCTACTTGAAAACACTTGTAAAAAAGCCAAGCCTCCAGATATAAGTAGCTCTTCACTCATAACGTAGGTTGGCCCATACGCAGAGGCTTAGAGTACCTTGACACCCAATGACGATTTCTACTTACACAAACCTCAAGACTTGGAAACGAGAGCTCAAAAACTACAAGTTTCCTTTACTCGCACCATTCAAGTCGACCAGTCGCACTTAAGTAGGGACTAGTTCACTAAATGAAAATCCCAATTGGACTATTTCCACAGGTTTCAGGGTAAAATTACGTAAACCAGACCTGACGTAACACAAAGAAGGATATTTGGCGGTTGTGAGTCGATTTACAATAGCTGTTATTACTACTAGTAGTGAACAAGATTCTTCAAGAGAAGGTACTTAGTCTTAAAATTTCATGGTAAAAAATCGTATTCCAGTTCACAGAACAATTTATTAAATCCATTTGTCAAACAGCAGTTCCATGTCATCCTTCCCACAATCATGTGTTTTCTGGGGCGTAAGTACACAAAGAAAAGAGACAAGTAAAATTACATCTGAGGTGCGCGCCTCTTCCTAGGACGTCTTGCTTTGGGTACGAGGGAAGTTTAATTATGAGGGGAGAAACCCAGAGGCCCACCGTTTGAGATAACAAGTGTAATAAATAATGCACACAAGTTACTGGAAGTTTCTGAACAATAAACTCAAAAGTTGCATTCACTTACTAGCATCAAGAGAATCTCTTTGGAGGCAGTAGCACTAAGGTCCCCAGAAGTACATTCGGGTATCTAATCTGTTGTTCGTCATCCAAATTTTCCACGAAGTTAGCCTGGTTTGCAGAAAAGCTCCCATAATAACTTCGTAGTCAACCTTCTTGTCTGAACGGAACTAGTTTTGCCCCATTCTCTATGCAGAGGCATTCAATGCTGAATGTAGTGAAAATATAAACAACGTGGTTTGTTATCCACATAACCGGTTAAATAATAGTGATGTTTGGTATTTGAAAAACATGGGCTAATTACGAAGTAACGAGTTTAACACAGGGAACCTTGCGACGAGCTATTGGGAAACGATCGCGCATGCTTTGAAAATGGAGGTTACCCTTCTCATGAAGTTGGCAAAATTGGTCAATATGTTGCGAAACATTTCAGACGATTTTCAGTGACAGCTGGTTTGACAGAGTTCATTTGAACTTTGTGCTCCAAACAACTCTTGGAAGTTGTTTTTAACACTTAACGTTTTGAATACTTCTGTTTCGTTGAGTGTTCTGCAGTATCGTTTCTCTGAGCCTTGTGTTATTTTTTCTCAGATTTTTTAATTGGACTCACATCCCCGATCACCACCTTTGTTTTTTTTGGCTAAATGTCTATCATCAAAATTAAGCACGGTTACCCATGATGTAGAGACACCTTGAACCAAACATTGCTTGAAACGCAGATCTGTAAGCTGACAAGACTAAGTAAGCATGAAAATTAACCTTATGGGTAGAGGATCGTAAGGTTATTTTGGGGGATGTAAGACGGGTGGATATTATTTTGGATAACGCACACGTAACTTAGGTGTGTCAGACTTATCCGGACTGGTCTCTTCAGGGTAGAACAGAGACGGGTTTTCCTGGCCAGATTGAATGCTCGCAATGAAACGGGAGTGGATATAACTGGAAGTGATAGTATTCGGATTGCGAGGTTCTAGGAATTGTTCTGCTGTGAACTTGACAGGCGCAGTGGTCAATCACTAACCATTCGAACTTGCAATATGCCGATGAATGCAAGACCAGGAAAGGACACAATAGCATGGCCGGATGGAATAGTATATTTGCGAGGTCGTGCCTAAGTACCGATGCGTTCCAACTAAGTGGCTAGAGGGTCGGTTACGAGCAGTACGACGAAACACGGCAGCGTGCCAAACGGCGACGATGCCTGACCAGGTGCCTTCAGCCTAGCGAGTCCATTTAAACTATCAAGGTCAGCACCAATGTTGAATCTCATCAAACCCTGGGCTACTTATTCTGGAGAAGTGTGTGGCGCTGCAGCCATAACTTTACAGCATGCCGACACTCATTGCCTCCACTCAACGGAGGGGGACGGGAAGTAGCTGCCGTGGTAGAAGCATGGCTAAGAGGAATGTACACGTACTCTCTTTTTCTGCGGACACTCCTATATCACGGTTGACGGAATATCGGTGTCTGCAGTGACCTAAATATAAGTGCGACTAATGCAGCAGCATGACCCAGGGCATTACTCAGAACTTCGGACGCAGTCCTGAAGTGCTAGGGAAAGGAAGCAACAGACTCCCATAAACTAATAGGCACCACTTGGTAACCTTTTCAGAATCAACACGAGCGAATTAGACTGCTTTTTGATCTCGTGAGATAGGGTATATAGCGGGCGGACCTGCTGAGTGCCAGAGGCTGCGCAGTTACACTAGACTAGACTGTGGATGTGGACAAGTCGATGCAGGAGGTAAGTAAAAAATTCAGACCTTAGCTTTGTGATACAACTTCCCTTTTGCCCTACAGTGGGCTACACGCTTCCATTCTCGCCTCTTTCAGTGGGTCGGTCAGAGTGTCGTAAGACTTGTAAAGAGAAAGAAGTGCCTGTTAGGCAGGTAGTGTGACGCTGAAGACTACGAACTGCACGGTCGGGAACATGCAGATATCGAGTATAACGGGGGCCAGAATTACATACGGAAAATTTACTTTGGAATATTCAGGACGGCACCCCTTATAAGCAAAAAGTTTCAAGTGCAAATATGGCTTTTTATCCCTTATATAAGGCAGGGATTCAGAGGAGTAGGCCAAGAATAGTCTGCCCAAAGTTTACGTTCTCTTTCAATATTTCAGCGCAATCTTCGGGAGAGATGCACCACTGTTTCCATAATCACCGACAGAAATGCCTCACTGTTGGGTGCAGTTGACAGTACAAGATGGCAGTCTTTAGACTGCCAGGTAACCTCATGGGTAGTAAACTCCATACTCGTGATGACCTGCACCCACTGCTGTTGTGTCCCTTGACATGTACTGTTGACAAACCGTCTCCGGGGTTATTTAACGTGCCTTTATATCAAACTCAGCATCCAGGGGACCAAAAATGTGTTGTAATCGGCCAAGATTTCAAGGCACTTGGTCGGCAACTGGAACAGAGTTATTGTGACATTAGCTCAAGAAGTGAACTTAGTAAAGCACTCGAGAAGACTCATTCAAAATGTGCTACGTTCTATCGACATCTGGTCTTCTCAACTGGCCACATGGTTTCTGAGCCGGTCGCTTCTACCCGACTTAATGCCCGCATGCGGAGGAGTATCGAGCTTCAGACCATGACGACGGGCAGCTTGTAAATGCTGTGATCAGCGACCCCATCGATTCCCCTACAGAGGGTTTTACAGCCTTGATAAACGAAAATATTCTCGGCTTTGAAATTCGACGCTACGACTGACGTGTAGATCGGAGAATTTCTACTAGTTTGCCGATGTCAGAAGGTAGGGAGCTGCGGATCGATATTTCTCACTTTCTGGGACTCGTCAGTAAGGCTTACCCGCCAAGCCAGAGGAGCTGCGGGTCACCGTGAGACTGAAAACCCAATTGTTCAGCGTTCAGCGACGTTACCCCTTCGCGACTGCCTTCACGCAGGACTGGATTCAGTAAGCTGATCGGTTGCTGGGTGGAAATCATCTCCATGTTGTCCATTCTTGTTTACTAGCCTGGTTCGATCGATCATTTCGCGATGCAAGCACAACTTCGTCGTGCTTGCATTAATATCACTTGCTTGTGGATCGTGTGCTGAAACAATGGACCTAAGCTTCATGCCTGTTGAAGCTCACCGGCAAGGTTTCCCCACGACTTCTAGAAAACTGATGTCCCCCGCGGGGGTGTAACTTTGTGTGATGGGAGAGAGCAGGTCACAGTAAATGGGAGACTATTCAAGTGGTAGCCTGTGGGGAGTGGGCTTCCCAAAGGAAACTTCTTGAGTAACCTCTCTTTTATTTGGTATCAGCGAGCCCCTCAGCATGATTATTTTCCTGCCGGTAACATGAAAATGTGGTAGGTTATCCCCGATGAGCAGGGCGGAGATGCTATGCGCGCAGAATTAAACGAAATAGTCAAAAGGCTTGGGCTTTGGTGTTTAGAAACCGATTCTGGCCACCGTTGGTCATCCATATTGCTCATGTTGGCCTTCGTCAGTAAATAGTAGTCTGGAGATGAGTACGTGGTTACCTTGGAACTACAGACCCTTAGTGACCGTCAGCGGTGCGGTAAAGATGTCTTCACACCATTCTAAATCTAGAGAGAAATGGTCTCAGGTAGTTTGGTCTGTTCACAGTACACTTATTTGCTTTTATGGAGGCATATCCCTGATCCTTGTCTTACGTTTCCGAGGCCGCACCTAGAACATTGCGTCACAGGGACCAGCCCTCATGCTGTGAGGAAGTTGCCATGGTACTGAATTGCGTCCAAAAAATCGGCAGAGTTGGTAACCGGTCTATCTTCCCTTCCAATATGAAGATTATATACAGCGGCTTTATTGTTTCCCACCGTTTAACATCAGCACCGTGTTGCCTCGACTATGATCATCCGACCATTTTCTCATATTTTCTCAACTCCAAAGAGCTGAATGTAGATGGACATGTGTCACGAGGATGTTCCACTGATCAGCTGATTTGATGAATGCCAGAGTAGCTGGGAGAGTGGTAAAAGGGGAAGGATCCCGACCTTTGTTTGACACGCAAGCTGTTTCTGTTCATAGATATAAGTTACTGGGATAACAAAGTGAAGGAAAATACTCCTAGTTTGAACGTAATACACGCAATTTTTACGCTTTACGCAAGCGTTGAGTGTTTTGCCGGGAAATGTCGTTAAATGAGCATGTGGTTGGTGTTAGTAGCAATATTTTTTCAAGTTTTAATAAGCAGTAGGGACTGAGAAGTCAATTTTCAAAAGCACGACACACTAAATTTGCAAGTAATCCTCTTTTAGTCCGCTTTTATTATCGGGATAATTAGGAATCTTTATTGTGCTACGCTAAAAAGACTGAGCAGCGCACAACGAAGATACGAATCTCCGGAGTTCCCAAACTCAAAGTGAAACAAACCGAATCCAGAAAACCTGGTCATGAAACTACCGACGTGAATTCAGTGAAGATGCACTCTGGGAAGAATTGTTTTTAACAAAAAGCACATTTGTAAACTCTGGCCACAAACTTCCGCTACTTTACGGCAACTGCAGTTTCCTGCCAAAACTAAACGCAATGGTGACACCGGCTCAAATGAAACTTCCACGTGGTCATGGAATGAAGTCGAAGAAGATAAATCATCGGTGTTTTCGCACATGTTACAAGCGCGAAATCAGAACATATGCAACACTCTCTAACAAAGCTTTGATTTCTTCCCATAATCAGCAGCATCTGATAACATTTATCACGTCAAAGCGCAAGCACATAGATATTCCTAAGTAGGATCCAGGTCTGACACCAGCAAACTCGGAAACCCCCTCCACCACCCTTCCGTCGTGATCCTCATGACTTAACCCAGCACGCCCGGGGGTCCCCTACTGGCAAACTGACATCCAGCGCCTGTGGTAGAAACACCTCACGAATGTCCCCATCAGGCGTTTCTTTCGACATCTTCAATTAAACCTCCACAGCTTACTTGTCCTCATCACAGATCACTAGCCGGATCAGTCCTAAGGACCATTTGTTTCTGTTCGCAAAGTCAGACACTATCTCAACTAAGTTGCCTGCCTTGATGTTTCTCTCAGAATTCGTCCACCCATACCGTTGTTATAACCAGGTAACACACCCCCAGGATCGACG